TTTTTTTTTTTTTTTTTTTTTTTTTTTTCTTCTTGAGATGGAGTTTTGTTCTTGTTGCCCAGGCTGGAGTGCAATGCTGCAATCTCAGCTCACTGTGGCCTCGGCCTCCCAGGTTCAAGCGATTCTCCTGCCTCAGCCTCCTGAGCAGCTGTGATTACAAGCATGCATCACCATGTCCAGCTAATTTTGTATTTTTAGTAGAGACAGGATCTCGATGTTGGTCAGGCTGGTCTTGAACTATGGAAGTCAGGTGATCTGCCCACCTCCGTCTCCAAAAGTGCTGGGATTACCGGTCTCAGCCACCACGACCAGCCTATTTCGGTATTGTTAAGGTCAGATTGCCCTCATGAGTTGCCCCGCCCAGGGCCTGACCCTGGTAGCAGCTGCCCCATGCTCAGGGACAAGGAATGAGCCCAGTAGACTTTGCCCAGAACGCAGTCCTACACACCTATCCACAGCTCTGTCCTCCTCCCCCGTCCACAGCTCAGTTCTCTACCCCCATCCACAACAGAGTCCTCCTCCATCCACAGCACAGTCCTCCTCGACATCCACAGCTGAGTCCTCCTCCATCCACAGCTCAGTCCTCCTCCTCCAACCACAGCTCAGTCGTCCTTCTCCATCCATAGTTCAGTCGTCTACCTGCATCCATAGCACAGTCCTCCACCTCCATCCACAGCTCAGTCCTCCTTCTCTATCCACTGCACACTCCTCCTTCTCTATCCACTGCACAGTCCTCCTTCTCTATCCACTGCATAGTCCTCCTTCTCCATCCACATCTCAGTCCTCCTCCCCCATCCACAGCTCCGCCCTCCACCTCCATCCACAGCTCAGTCCTCCCTCATCCACAGCTCACTCCTCCTTCTCTATCCACTGCACAGTCCTCCTTCTATATTCACAGAACAGTCCTCCTTTTCTATCCACAGCACAGTCCTCCTTCTCTATCCACTGCACAGTCCGCCTTCTCTATCCACAGCACAGTCCTCCTTCTCCATCCACAGTTCAGTCCTCCTCCCCCATCCACAGCTCAGTCCTACTTCTCTATCCACAGCACAGTACTCCTTCTCTATCCACTGTACAGTCCTCCCCCCGCATCCACAGCACGGTCCTCCTCCCCCATCCACAGCTCTGTCGACCACCTCATCCACAGCACGGTCCTCCTCCCAAATCCACAGCACAGTCTTCCACCTCGATCCACAGCTCAGTCCTCCTCCATCTTCATCCACAGCTCAGTCCTCCTCCTCTATCCACTGCACAGTCCTCCTTCT